GTGATTGGTTAGCTGGGCCAGTGTGTGCTGTGATTGGTTAGCTGGGCCAGTGTGTGTTGTGATTGGTTAGTTGGGCCAGTGTGTGTTGTGATTGGTTAGTTGGGCAAGTGTGTGTTGTGATTGGTTAGTTCAGTGTGTGTTGTGATTGGTTAGTTGGGCAAGTGTGTGCTGTCAAATCAATTTGAGTGCGATTTAAACCTGGATGATTGTAACCGCTCTAAGTTCGTCTGCCTTGTGAAAGCTAGCGCATCTCCGACATAGTGATAACACTCCTTACCTTCTCTAGTGCAGCTCAACCAGGTCTCGTCCCATTCGTCGGTATTTGTGATATCACACATCCCGGAAAATGTGTTGTAGTTCAAACGAATCGTTCGTTGTAGTTTTTGAAAAGTGATTTCTGTTAAAGAGGTCATATGATGTTGCTAAAAAGAACATTATTTTGTGTATTTGGTGTAATGAAATGTGTTTATGCGGTTTAAAGTTCAAAGAACACATTATTTTCCACATACTGTTGTAACATACTTGTTCTTCGTGTGTTTGTGTGTGTGTGTGTGTGTGTGTTTATTTATTTTGAAGTAAGTTTGAGTTTAGGTTTAAAATATGATTAATTAAGTTTATTAATATCATTCATATTAAAACAAAAAAACATTAAAATAACAATATTAAAACAAAAATCCAAACAAATGTCAACGTTTTTTTGAAAACACTTTTTAAAATTGTGTTTAAAATGTCAACTCTCACATTTATATGTAATATTGCATTTTATTAAATATATTTTTAAATAGTAATATTATTAAAACTATGGTTAAAGTTATTGTTTTTGATGTTTATTTATGTATTTATTTTTATTAAGTTTAGTTTTAAAATATGATTATTAAAATGTTAAAGTATTATTAAATCTATCAAATCAAATGCCAACATTTTTTGAAAAATGGTGCTAAATAGCATTAAAAGTGGTTCTTTGGCTCGTAATCATAGGGGAACCCCTTTAAGTGCTATATAGCACCTATATCTTTAAAGATGGTGCTATATAGCACCTTAACCACCCCAAAGAATCGCCGAAGAACCGTTACAGGTTCTTTATAGGTGCTATATAGCACTTAAATTGGTTCCCTTATGATTACGAGCCAAAGAACCACTTAGCAGTGCTATATAGCACCTCAACTACCACAAAGAACGGCTGAAGAACCCATTTTTTGTGTGTGTGTTTATGTATTTATTTCTAAATGATTGAATGTATCAAATTAAATTTACAAAAAAAAGTTTAAAAAAATATTAAATTGTGTTTAAAAAATCAATGCTCATATGTTTGTGTGATATTAAATTTTAATAAATATGAGTATTTTTAAATAGTAATATTACAGTCTATTTTCTATATGATTCGGTCCGTTCGGTTCATTCGCTGGATGTTATTTTGTCTCTTTTCCAGTAGAGATTGCCCAGTACCTCGTAGTAGTTGCTGTCTATGTGTGTTTGTTTATTTATGTGTCTATTTTTAAATGATTAAATGTATCAAATCAAATGTACAAAACATCTGAAAAATTATTTTAAAATTGTGTTTAAAAAACCATCACTCACATGTGTACATAATATTAAATATTAATAAATATGTGTATTTTAAATAGTAATATTATTAATACTCTATATGTTTAAAGTTATTGTTCATAATGTGTTTATTTATTTATGTATTTATTTTTAAAGTATTAAATGTATCAAATCAAATGTACAAAAAAATGTAAAAAATATTTTTAAATTGTAAAAAAAAAAAATCATGCTCACATGTGAACGCAATATTAATAAACACTGTAAAAAATGACCGTGAATTTAATGGTAAAAAACTGTAAAAATGCTACAGTAAAAACCTGCTACAGTTAAATGGTTAACGGTAAATTTCCCTACTATATACGGTGAAAAAACTGTATTGGAAATTACATGTACAGTAATTTTACGGTAGAATACTGTTTTTGGAAGTGCAAAAAAAACGTATAATTTACAATGAATAACCGTATATTGACATTCCCAGAGTTCCTTGCATTCCCTGCATTTCAAATCTGATGTTTTTTTTTAAATAACTGTTTCTTCTTAGTTTGTACATTAGGGTTGTGTGTTACATCTAAAGTTGTTAAATTAATGTTTATTGCATTATTTCAGTTTCATGTGTGTTACCGTGATGGTGTTTAGTGTTTGTGTGAATGACACGGTGCACCTTCTATATATGTTATTATTTAAAAGCTGCTTGTGATGGGCTTTGGTTCATCATGTGACTTTCTCATCACCACCTGCTTTTGGTGGTTATCAGTGTATTACAAAGCTACAAAACAGATTTCAGAACTTCAATAGGTTGGTATATTAACATTATATCAGTTAATGAAATTATGGTGTTTATCTGTAAATTTAAGTAAAAACCGTAAAACCTAAAATGTTGCTACCGTATTTTTAATGGTAAAATTCTGACAACCACAGCTGCCGTTTTTTACCATAAATTTTACAGAATTCTTTTTTTTACAGTGAATATGAGTATTTTTAAATGGTAATATTACACTTTTTTTCTATATGATTAGTTCCATTTAATTCGCTGGATGTTGTTTTATCTGTTTTCTAGTAAAGAGATCGCCCAGTACATCGACGTCGCACACAACTTCACGCTGACCAAGAGCAGCGTCCGCATGGGTCAGCTAATGCACTATGACTACTCCAGTCACAAATACGTCTTCTCCATCGGCGAGAACCTCAGGTCTCTGCTGCCGGACTCGTCTCCCGTCCTCAACAAGCGCTTCAACAGCTGCGCAGTGGTGGGCAACAGCGGCATCCTTACCGGCAGCCGCTGCGGCACGCAGATCGACAGCTACGACTTCGTCTTCCGCTGCAACTTCGCACCGACTGAGGCCTTCCGTCGCGACGTGGGCCGCCGGACCAACCTGACCACCTTCAACCCCAGTATCCTGGAGAAATACTACAACAACCTGCTGACCATCCAGGACAGGAACAACTTCTTCCTGAGCCTGAAGAAACTGGACGGAGCCATTCTCTGGATTCCCGCCTTCTTCTTTCACACGTCGGCCACCGTCACGCGAACGCTCGTCGATTTCTTCGTAGAGCACAAGGGCCAGCTGAAGGTGCAGTTAGCCTGGCCGGGAAACATTATGCAGTACGTCAACAGGTGAGATCTGAGAACTAAGCTACTAAAATAAAGGTATAATAAATATGTGACCCAGGACCACAAAATCCAGTCAATGGATTTGTCAAGTGTCAATTTTGTGAAATTGAGATTTATACATATACATAATAAATAAGCTTTCCATTGATGTAAGGTTTGTTAGGATAGGACAATATTTGGCTGAGATACAACTATTTGAAAATCTGGAATCTGAGGGTGCAAAAAAATCTAAATATTGAGAAAATCATCTTTAAAGTTGTCCAAATGAAGTTCTTAGCAATGCATATTACTAATCAAAAATTAAGTTTTGATATATTTATGGTAGGAAATTTACAAAAAATCTTCATGGAACATGATCTTTACTTAATATCCTAATGATTTTTGGCATAAAAGAAAAATGGATAATTATGACCCATACTATGTTTTGTTGGCTATTGCTACAAATATCCCCCAGCGACTTAAAGGGTTAGTTCACCCAAAAATGAAAATTAGCCCATAAATTACTCACCCTCAAGTCATCCTAGGTGTATATGACTTTCTTCTTTCAGACGAATCCAGTCGGAGTTATATTAAAAATTGTCTTTGATCTTTCAAGCTGTTTTATGGCACTCAGCGGGTGTTGCATTGCTTCAGTCCAAAATAAGTTAAATAAAAAGCACCCATCCATAAAAAAAAAGTGTCTCACACGGCTCCGGGGGGTGAACAAAAGCCTCCTGTAGCGAATCAATGCGTTTTTGTTAGAAAAATATCCATATTCAAAACGTAATAATCACTTTAATGTAGCTTGCGCTCACTGTTGTACACGGAAGCAGCTCTGGGAGGATGACGTATGAGTTCAGCTTTGTGCATTTGCATTTAACTAAATAATAAAAAATGATTACCAAGTGATTAAGGGTTGCTGATTATTATTGAAAACTGATTAAGAGTTGCTGTTTTTTAATAATTTCAGCCTGGTATTAATGATATTTTAAAACTAAAGGCTTTATAAATAAGTAAATAAATAAGTAACAATAATCAAAATAATACAAAATAGAAAAAATAGAAAGCTTTAGTTTTATATTTTGTAATTTAAAAAAAATGTAAACACTTTTTAAAATTCTTACTAATTACTACGAATTGCTAACTAATCTTAATAATTAATGAATTATAGAACATTGTTACTAACTGACATTTAGGGGTTTTATTTGAAATAATTTCTTGAACTCTCAAAATAACAATAACAGAAAACTAACTCGTGTTATTTCAAACCACAACCATGAAGCCTTGTAACCAATGCAAATATCTCAGATGAAGCAGAAATCATGATCACGTGCAGCCTTCCCAAGTGCTATCATGTTGGTTTTTGGACGTGGTAGCGAGCAGAAGATGAGATTATCAGGATGTCTGTAAGTGAGAGTTAGCCGGTTTAACCCTCATTCATCGACTGAGCTGCTGTCCTGTAATCTACTGCAATCCCTTCAAACAGAGTCGATGTGATTTCACTCCGTAAGACGCTCACAAGATCACAAGAGGATTCATAGATACTGGGTTTAACAGTCTGTGATTGCATATGCTGTACATGGGAGAGTTCATGATTTAATCAAGACTTTTATTTAATATTTTTTAAATAGTAGTTTATAATAGTAGTTTATTAACTATAATACTACTATTAACTACTATATAATTTAATATAGTAGTTAAATAGTTTCTAAATGTTTGACATTTGATTTAAATAGACTAAATGTTATTAATGTTACTAAAAGTTTTTAAACTTTATTAATACAATTTTAAAATTAAAAGTAAATAAATAAATAAATACATTTTAAATTCGTTTTTTTATTTTTTAAGAATTTGTCAAATCTCAAATAAATAAATAAATAACAACATTAGAACGTTATTACAAACTGATTAAGAGTTTAAATTTTTTTTAAACTCACAAATAAGTAAATAAATAACATTAGAAAATTATTGCAAAATCGTTACAAGCTCATGTTGACATGTTCAAAATGACTTTAATTGAGAAATTGAAAGCATTTTCATCATAGAAGAGGTGTATGAATTAAAATCTTTAATGTTACAGAATAAATAGAGCTATAAACATCACACACATGTGTGTATTGTCCCAGTGGTTGAGTATTGTGTTCAGTGTCTCTGTGACTGTATTAGAGATGCTGGGTGAACTAACCTTGCTCTGAGCAAAACCTCTGAGAACACACACACACACACACACACACACTCTCTCTCTCTCTCACACACACACACACTCACTCACTCACTCACTCACATACACGCACACACACACACACAGGAGCCGCTGACCTTCATGGGTGTGTTGTCACTGTTTTCCTGCAGACACATGTGCCACTTTGGGTGAAACACATTAGTTTTGTTTCCCGGGGGTTTCTGGGTAAACGCTGTTCAGTGTGCGCTGGTCCTCTGTCATCAACTCTATGTGAGGATATTTGACTTAATTCACGCTGAAGTTCTGTGCTGGAAGAGTTCTTGCAGGTAAAGCGATGGTGGATTTGAGGTGCCAAAGTGCAGAATGTACTGAGATCAGCCCTTATGGAAACACTGTAATGTTTGTTAATTACATAATTTTTTTTTTTTTGCAATTTGTTGTTATTCCAGAGTTATTGATTTTTATTCTGGTTTACAATTTAAAAAATATATATAATAATAAAGAAATTGACAGATAGATAATAAAGGGTTTATAATTAAGTTTCACTTTATTGTTGATATTATGATTAATGTAATTTTTTTTTTAATCATTTTAAATTTATGTATAATAAATAAATTGGTTGATGAATGTAAAATGTATTACCGGTAGTATAATATAATTTTATAAAGGGCATTAAAATTAAATTTTGTGTTCATTATAATTTTATATTTTATACTTTTTTTTAAATGATTGTTGACATCATCATAATTACCATAATGCAAAAAATAAAAGAAAAATCAGGTTTTATGAATGAAAAAATTTAATAAAATAAAAACTGTACTTATTCATTGCTTGATAAATACAATTTTAATAATATAATAATATAATTTAATGAAGGGCATTAGAAGTATATTTCACATTATGATCAATTCCATAGTGCTAATAATAATACTAAGCACAGGTTTTGTGAGATTCACCCAAATGCTCATCAAACCTACAAATAGAATTAAAGACTGTCAGCTAATACACACAGATTTAGTTAATCCTATTTCCAGTTTGCAACATCTCAAAATATCCAAAGACAGTTTTATTTAAAAATGCCTATATATATACTGTATATGTCTAAAAATGACCCTGCAGCACAAAAGCAGTGTTAAGTCGCTGGGGGATATTTGTAGCAATAGCCAACAATACATTGTATGGGTCATAATTATCCATTTTCCTTTCATGCCAAAAATCATTAGGATATTAAGTAAAGATCATGTTCCATGAAGATATTTTGTAAATTTCCTACCGTAAATCTATCAAAACTTCATTTTTGATTAGTAATATGCATTGCTAAAGAACTTCATTTGAACAACTTTAAAGATGATTTTCTCAATATTTCGATTTGTTTGTACCCTCAGATTCCAGATTTTCAAATAGTTGTATCTCGGACAAACCATACATCAATGGAAAGCTTATTTATTCAGCTTTGTATATAAAAGAATGACCCTTATGACTGCTTTTGTGCTCCAGGGTCACAAATGACAAAAACAGAAGTGTCCGCTCTTGCTGTCTGCAGGTATTGGAAGACGAAGCAGCTTTCCCCGAAGCGTCTGAGCACAGGGATCCTGATGTTCACGCTGGCCTCGTCTCTGTGTGAACAGGTGCATCTGTACGGATTCTGGCCCTTCGGCTGGGACCCCAACACGGGCAAAGAGCTGCCCTACCATTACTACGACAAGAAGGGCACCAAGTTCACCACCAAGTGGCAGGAGTCGCACCAGCTGCCCACCGAGTTCAAACTGCTCTTCAAGATGCACGCAGACGGCGTCCTCAAACTCAGCCTCTCCCACTGCGCCTGAGGTCAGAGGTCAGCGGTCAGGATGCGGGGTCGTTCGGGCTCGCTAATGGACATTTGTCATGATTGTCCTGGATTTTATTTCTGGAACTATATACACTGAGCTCAGCAGTGTTATTGATAACTAATGATATCAGTGTTAGAATGGGCGCCATCAGGGATAGAAAGGAAGGCTGGTGACACTTTACAATAAGGTGACTTATTTAGTCTGACAGTGATTTGCTAAAATGGTTTCCACATGCAAATTTGTTTTTGCATGACCAAGCGTATAAACAGACTAATTGATTGGCTGAGATGATTAACAAGCGATGTGATTGGCCGAGACAGTTCTGGCCTGATCATATTACTGAGGATCCATTTGCAAAACACTGAACGTCTACAAAGTTTCTCTGAACCCGTGTGTCAGTCCTGAAGACTGGAGTAATGATGCTGAAAATACAGGTGCGCATCACAGAAATAAATTACAGTTTAACAGATATTCACAGCTATTTTAAATAGTAATAATATTTCACAATTTTTACAGTATTTGCTGTATTTTTGATCAAATAAATGCAGCCCATGACCTACCGTATAGACATTTTCTGCATTTTATTAATTTTTTTCATTGATGTGTTCATGTTTTAGACACTTCTTCACTATTTTCTTCACTCTTTCATTACCGTACAGACATGATCTGGATATGATTTCCCTCAGTGATATTGAGCTCTTCAGATTGAACCCAACTGTAAGAGAATGGTTCTGGGCTCTTTTTGAAAGTCGAATGCAGTTCTTTTGATAACACCGACTTCTTTTGATTGTATCTGTCTTTGTTTCCCGTCTTCTGAATGTGTTTCGATTGTAAGACGAGGCGCAGCAGATCTCGACTTTCACAAGATTAATTTCAGTGAATTTTAAGCGAAACTAATTAAGAGTAGAGAAGTGAACACTGAGTGTGCGAATGTTATTTTCTTCTTCTTTTAATGTGTGATCAGTTTTATTATAAACAGAGATGGTGATGTCTCAGAGCGAACAAACAAATAAACGTCCGTTTCAGACATCAAACGTGTCTCACATGTGCCAGTTATTATAGTTCTGTCAGGACCACTATCTTCAAAATGATAGATACTTAGTATAAAGTTTGGTTTGGCGGTATGGTTCTGTTCTGAGCAAAAACCTCCCTGCCGATCCATGCAGCCTGTCATGACTGAGCAGGGAGAGCAGCAATAATAACCCCCCAGGGTTAACAGAACAGAACAAGGCAGATATCATTAATGTACTTAATGATATTTAAGTGTAACACTTTATTCAAGATAAAGGAGCCTGATTAGCAAGGAATATCAGAAAGCCAAGTCCTGACTGTGGCGAAAGGAGGAGCTGGGGATGGAGGAGGGTAATTTGCTCCCGAGCAAGCTGAAAAGCTGCAGAATAATGCTGGATAGAGCTTATATAGGAATGCCGCGATAGGTGTCGTATTCCTATAGGTAGATGTGATCAGCTGAGAATCAGCTGATGCAAGCTTGACTCACATGACCTGCCAGAACTAACGCTAACCCTTAATTTTTACAAATGAAATTTTTTTTGAACATTATGAGTTTGCTGTCCAGCACAGATTTATCTGCGGATGCTGTGACTGACAGGCTGATGCAAGCTTGACTCACATGACCTGCCAGAACTAACGCTAACCCTTAATTTTTACAAATTAAATTTTTTTTGAACATTATGAGTTTGCTGTCCAGCACAGATTTATCTGCGGATGCTGTGACTGACAATCTAATGAACGTCAGAAATATTCCTTAAGCAGTCATTTCAGCCATGTTTTGTTTACAGTTATCATAAATCAGGTTATATGGTGATATCTGTGGGGAAAGTTCAATACTTCACCATTAAAGAACGTCACGTGACGATGTTTAAGTAGAAACGTCCTTCTGAACATGATTTAAAACACAAACATCAATCAAGAAGAACAACACAAGCGATATGTTATTGATAATCCATATGCGGAGGAAGAGAAAACATTGATCACTGTTAGAGAAAAAACATCCTTTTTTATATTCTAATGCATTAATGGCATATCCTATCGTGCACTATACATAAAACTGCTTTGCCATTAAAATACAGCAACAGAAAGGACAAAAAACTAATATATTCACCAGTAATTTTTTCTGTCTAAATATACATGCACACATTGTTTTTTTATGTTAAATATAAATACACACATGTTGTTGTTTATGTTAAAGTTAGTTTGTTTTGTGTCCTGCTGTCGGAGCGCTTCGCTCGCGTGTCTTCTTTGACCTTTGACCTTTGTTCCTAAAAAGAGGGGTCAAAGTTTAAACCAAATGATGTAACAGCCCATCGGCTTTGTCTCTTTAGATCAGCGGTGTCCACACTTTTTAGTACAAAGAGCCAAAAATCAAGTTTGATTCAGATATATTTGATATAACTGTATTTGGTTACTCTGCTGAAATTAATTATTAATGCAAGACTCTAAAAGTGAGTAGGGTACAAATGTTAACTAATAGACATCACCATACTTCCCCAGTTAATTGATTGCATTAAGAATAGCAAACACTTTTTGTATTAGAATTTTTCTGAAATGTTATGTTTAAGCATGCAGATGAGGCATTGTCTAATTAAACATGCACTAATTTGCCCAATTTTCCAGAACAGAAATCTAAACATTGAATAAAGCCAGGTTCATTTAATTGTGTTGTCATATTAGAGTTAAAGGTTTTTCTGGAGGGTGTTTTGTATTTCTCTTTTTATCACTCCATAACTCAGAAAATGCTGTCAACAGACAGAAAAAAAGACATTTTCACCATGTTTTCAGGATTAAAATAGTATATACATCAGTGTGAATGATATGTGAACAAGCCCCACAGTAAAAATCTTCAGAATATAGAGAGGAATAAAACTGTAAGTTCGGGTGTATGTAAGTGCTGCTGAAGTGGACAAAAAACTCTTTAAAGAAATGTATTGGAATTGAACTCTACAGACGCAAATGGAAAAGTGCAATAAAACATGTGTTTTGGATGTTTTCTTTCCACTAATCTGAAAAAAAAAAGATTATAAAAAGCTCAACAGCCCAAAATCTCAAAATTGACCAGTGCATGAAAAAACAGTTTCTACAGTGTTTAGCGCAGTCAGACGAGAGCAGCATTCATCAGTCTTTTCTCTTCGTTTCACCACAGAGCTGCAGACAGTACAGTACAGCTTCTTTGTCTAAGTCTTGTGTTAAAGCGGACGCTTTGTTTAGTATAATTTCATTTGTGCGCTGCACATTTCTGCCGTTTTGTGTTTCTAGTGTTGGTGATTCATAGAAAATCAATTTGGGGAGGAAAAAGGAAAAGCAGCACATTTGCCTTTCTTTCTCTGCTCCTGAAGATTTTGCACATTTTCTTCTTTTATGATTCATGCTATTTTTAAACTTAAAACCAAAGCCTGTAAATTAATGGTGATATAATAATATTTATAATAATATCAAACATAACTAGAGCAATCGGCTTTTGCTGTAAGATATGTGAAATGGAAAGGATTTTATATAACACATTATTCTTATAAGTGAAAAAATCTGAATAATGAGAGTCGTCTGCTGGTTGCATGGAACAAAAACAGATTTTTGTTTATTAGAAACTTAAATTTAGGCTCTGGAATTATTCAGTAAATGAATATGGTTTGGTTTGTCATCTCAAACAGTCTGATGTTCATCAGCGGTGACATAAACATGATTGTACAGAACACTGTTTCTGTGGTTCTGAGCAAAAGATAGAAATGCAAACCAGCTTCAGATAATCAATACACACACACTCTCACACACACACACACTCACACACATACACGCACACACACTCACACACACACACACGCACGCACGCACATACACACACACACACATACACGCACACACACACACGCCACACGCACACGCACATACACGCACACACACACACGCACACACACACACACACACACATACACGCACACACACTCACACGCATATACACACACACACACACACACACGCACAAGCACTCACTCACTCACTCACACACACACACAGACAGGCCTGCTGAGAGAGCAGGGAAAAGTGCTCATTTCTCCTGCAGAGTGTCAGAAAAGCTGAAGAATAGGACAGACAGATGTGTGTGTGGTCATTACAATAGTAACTGTTTTATAAGTGTTTATCCTCGAATGTTTTCATTTGAATTTCAGTAAAACACAGCATGATTTATTCCATATTTTCAGACATTTTAGATGATTAAACATTTTAACTACAATTTAAATTAGTATGCTATATATAAAAAAGTTCACAGACACACACTAATGAAATGTTATTTTACAATTTTTTTCATTATTTTTATTTAGTCCATCTTGGATTATTGGTTATGTTTTATATTTATGTTTTATTATACGTCTTATATGTTATTAGTTACAGCAAAGCTTTAAAGTCTTATTTTTATTTAGTTTTATTTTGTAGTGAGATTCATTGCAATCATGTCAAATGTCTAAATAATTCAAATATTTCCAAATGTAAGTTTTCAACAGTGTTTTGTATATGCAATGTTGTCATACATCTATTAAATTTAATAAAAAAAATATATATTATATATATGGAATATGTTGTTTGTTTTAGCCCCCCCTCCCAATTATTTTCATTTAGTCCATATGTTCAATTAAATGTTCAATTGTTTATAATAATATCCCCTCCCCATATGACTTATTAGTTACAGCAAGGCTTTATAATGCTGTCTTATTTTTATTCTATTGTATTTAGTACATTTTAATTATGAAAACCACAGAAAATGTCAAAACTCAGAAGCTAAACAAAGTATTTTTACAGAAATACCTCAAATATTTTAGATTACTGTATAGTGTTTACGTGCATTACACGCAGATTTCTATTATATTCCATTTATTTGGTTTTATACATATAAGAGGAGGGTTTCAGCGTGAGGTGTCGGAGGCGTCGTCCACGCGTGTTTGCTCGTCTCTTTCACGGACACAATGAGGTGAACGTGTCAAGGGTTAAAGGTCACGGCCCCTGAAACACAGCAAGCAAAATACAGCCTTTCAGCAGCAGAGAACGAGACACGATGAAGATATCATAGAGAAATCTGCAACAGAGACCACACTGAAGCGTTCTTCTTGAGAAAGCACGATCATTAAAGCACTTCCATGTTAAACTGCTCACACATGCAAAGCAAGAGCAGTTATTAATTAACCCAGAACACTCAAAACAATCAATATGATCATCAGAGACACTCAACAAACCGTCTCTGCATGATCACACAGACCTCAGTTTAACACTGGTTTAGGGACCATGCATTTTTGTTTTGGGCTACACATACATAGCACACAACATTTTTTCATCACATTTGTTTAGTCCATTTTGGTTATCATTTAAATAATTGTAGTTGAATTATTTAATTTTAGCCCCCTTTCTTTTTCCTGGCATTGTTTGACATCCTTGTTCTAGTGATCAGGTTATTCTGAGAGGTCAAATGTCACGGGTCACCTGATCTCCTGTGACCTTTCGCCCTAAAATCCCCCACAAATCTCAATGTCAAATGCGTTTAACAGAGCATTAAACCTGAAATCTTCACTCCCAAAGAATGGCCATACATCTTTCGTCGCAAAGCGATGTCAATATTCGAACAACAAAATTAAGTGAACAACTTTATTTCATCACGTGACAAAAATCAAATTAAATTAAACGGGCTACTCATGTCGTGTGAACGCCAGGAAGAATAAAACCACGGCCAAAAGGTAATGTTATGTCAGATATTAACGTCGTGTGGTGTTTCTAAACCCTTTATAAGCTTGCATTAAATCTTCAAAATAATTTTTATAATAACTATTTAAGGTTCACTAATCGCCATGAGTGTGTTTTGAAATTGCTCATCAAAAGAAATCATGACCCTTTTGTCAATGCTACAGAATGTTAAGTCATTCAAAATTAAAATAGGGAATAAATGGTCATCGTATGTGAGTTTTAAAATTATGCATGACTAATTTCAGTCTGATTTTTCACGTTAAAAACAAAAAAACGCGAAAATTGTGTGAACTAATGCCGCATTCGAAACACAAATCTCTCACTAATGTTACATTATTCAGAACATTATTGTCATGCGAGATATGAGCTGAGTTGCACTGACAGATTTACACGCCTGTGAAACTTAATTAGAGAATTAAAAAGATAATCATCTCTGAGCACCTGTTAAAGCATTTCATGCACGACAAGATCCGAACAACAGACTCAAACCAACTGCCTTCAGTGTGTGTGTGTGTGTGTGTGTGTGTGTGTGTGTGTAAACGTGTTTTCTGAAAGTCTTGTAACGTGTAAACTTACCTGTTAAAGCATTTCATGCACGACAAGATCCGAACAACAGACTCAAACCAACTGCCTTCAGTGTGTGTGTGTGTGTGTGTGTGTGTAAACGTGTTTTCTGAAAGTCTTGTAACGTGTAAACTTACCACAGACTTTCAAATCTCTTGTTTTAACCTTTAAAAAATGATTTTGTTCAGTTTTGTCGTATAGGTACAGATCTCAAGGCCCCTTGAGATACTAGACGTTTATTTCAGTTCGTCGCATTAAAATCATCTTCATTGCAAGTGTGAAATATAGTTATAGTTAATAATGCATAATATTATTAATATAACTAGCTACAATAAACTATAAAACAATAGTAATACACTTAGATCTGATAGCTATTGTTTTGCTTGACTTCAAAATGATATTGTTTTATGTAAATACAATTCACAGAATGAGAATATCTGCAGCCAACAAAATGACATTAATGCCATGACATGCTGAACATGTTTCTTAACGCTGCATATTCAAATTAAATTACATTTTGAATACGCAAAATCACTGAGAATATCAGAAAACAGACCTCGTCTTTGTAAAAGTTAAAAAGTCCAACCAAATGTGTTTTGTAACCGCAGGTTAACATGTCATGTTCGCCGAGCCTAAAGACTGTTTTGTCATATTCACAGCTGCGGCGCAACACGCATATGAAACGGCTTTAATAGCCAAAGCACTGGATGAATTTCCCCTTCGTCTCGACACTAATTCAGACGGACCTCGTGGACGTGTCGCTGTAGTGTGATTTGTGACGCGCCGCGCAGGTTCGGATAAAAGCGCATTTACGAGCAAAAGAAGCGCATTTGAGCCGCGTTTAGTGCTGGAGGAAGCTCGGAGACTTACCGAGAGCCGCCGGATCTCTGCACGCGCCCCGAACAGATGCAGCGCAGGACGGTAACGGCAGCATCATGGGGTCCGAGGCGCATTGATTCTGATCAATAGTGCTGCACTTACACAGCAGATGGCCAGAGAGCGACAGAAATGAGGGGGAAAAAACACTGTCCCAATCCAAGAGTCGCTCGAGCCTCTTCAGCTTTTAGCTTGAAAGGAGAAATGATGCATCATAATAACAATCTGAAGTGCGTTTCATTTACACTTAATCCATTCAGATGAACGCAAAATGAGTTAATCTCATCACATCTGAACGTTTGCCGTGAAACTAACGCGTTTTGTTACTGTAAGTCTTTATAGTCTACATTATTGGGTTTTTTAAAAGTACAAACATTAGAGTATTTATCAGTTTGATATTGCAAACAGCAATCAGATGCATATCAAAAATCTCACAGAAAACAAGAATAGTTTTGCATTAAAAAAAAACTAAACTAAATGGATTTAAATAGCATCCGATTATCTTCATTAATCCCCCGGTTTCACAGTCAAAGCTACTAAAATGTGATTCTGAGCTGTTTCGTCTGAAAGAAACTTGCAGGGACTGATCTTAAAATATATCAGTGCCTTTGTTTTGTCTCAAGATGCACTATAGCCTAATGCTTTTTTCTAAGGCATGTTAATAAAAAATACTAAAATGTCCTAATTGAACTATGGCCTAATCCTGGTTTATAGTCTAAGACCTGGTTGTGAAACCAGGCCTTTGACTAGTATTTTAGGTGTATGTTGATTTTTAAAATTACATTTGTCTAATAGGCCTACTGAGAGGTTATTTGATCCTTTTAAGTTTATCTGCATAGGCTAGTAAATATGCCCACTTGACTATTAAGAGAAAAAAATATGTTTATCATCATTATGTCATATATCTGTTTCTAGCCATTTAATGAAACATATTTGTATTCATTTCTACTCCACTTTCTTTTTTTCTTTTTTTTAAGTCAAATTAAGGTGGCCCACAAAGTGTAAATTAACTTTTCTGTTTTTATTATTATTTTTTTTTTTACAATTTATAAAATTAGAAAACAGTTTATAAAACATACAACAGTTTTGTCAGTGCGTAATAGGCATATTTTCTGTTTTCATGCGTTTTGGTGATTTTAATGTAAATGTTGTGAAAAGTTTTTTTTTAGGTTCTATAAAAGCCTTAAAAAAATACTAATTGTTGTAAACTAATATCACAAAAAAATAGCTCTGAACGTTTGTTAATTTGCGTTTGTTGAATGTAAAGCTGGTAAAGTGAGTTTGGCGTTTAGACTTTTACATGCTTTTAGAAAGAAAACAACGTCCTGCCTTTTACCCCCCAGCAGCTTTTTTCCTGAGAGTGTACAGTTACATTGCAGGATTTTGAATAGACCTGTTCATGTGATTATATTTTTGTGTTGTTTTGTAGAGGATGAACCGGATAAACGATGCGTTTGCAATGACAGCGAAGCGCCCGTCTGACGCGCGATTCCAGATGCAAAGCCAGCGACTCCAAACGGCTTCGTGGACGCGTCAGCGATTGGCCAGAGGCGCGCTGGCGAGGAACGCGATTGGACCGCCGACGCGTCAATCAAGGCCAAAACTCCTCCCCTTTCAGCAGGGTCGGGTGCGCGCGGAGCAAGCCCACCCCAAACACCTCCAGTTGCCCAAACAGAAGACGCAGGAGGAGTAGAGGGCTCGGACATGGGGAGAAATCAGCACTGGCCCGTCTGATAGAGATCGGTGTTTTTTATTTATTAAATAAGGGAGAAAAAAAACCCGAGAGGCCTTCGGAGAGGACAAATAAATAAAATAAATAAAAACAAATACGGAGAGAAACCCATCCCTGGCACAAAGCTGGGGATAAATCAATGGACTGAATGAAGACTGCCTATAACGCCTATCGATGCCTGGCCAAGGATTTGGATGCGTACGCCATGAACCCAGAGATGACAATGGACATTGGCAGCCTAAGCCATGAGCAGGACTTGATGAGCAGCCACAGCCCCCATCACAACCGCAATCCGGGGGCTTCCTTGCGGATACACCAGGATCTGACCGTGGCGCCGTCGCGCTCCGCGATGGTCTCCAGTATGGCTTCGATTCTGGACGGCGGCGGCGGAGGAGAGTACCGTCCCGAGCTGTCGCTGCCGCTCCATCACGCCATGAGCATGCCGTGCGACACCTCCCCATCCGGGATGAGCGGCACCTACACCACGCTGACCCCTCTGCAGCCCCTGCCGCCGATTTCCACCGTGTCCGACAAATTCCACCATCCGCACCATCACCACCATCACCACCACCAGCGTCTCTCTGGGAACGTGAGCGGCAGCTTCACCCTCATGCGGGACGAGAGGACTCTACCAGCCATGAACAACCTCTACAGCCCCTACCACAAAGACATGAGCGGGATGGGGCAGAGTTTGTCCCCTCTGGGCAACGGCTTGGGCTCCATCCACAACGCGCAGCAGACGCTCCACAACTACGGCGCGCACAGCCACGATAAGATGCTGAGCTCCAACTTCGACGCGCACACTGCCATGCTGGCCAGAAGTGACCAGCACCTCTCCAGAGGCCTCGGTGGCCCCGCGGCGGGCATGATGCCGCACCTCAACGGGATGCACGGGCATCCGGGCCACCCTCAATCCCACGGGCCCGTGTTGGCTTCCAACCGGGACAGACCGCTCTCCTCCTCCTCCTCCTCCGGAGCGCAGGGCCCCGGCTCGGGTCAGCTGGAAGAGATCAACACCAAGGAAGTGGCGCAGCGCATCACGGCCGAGCTCAAGCGCTACAGCATCCCGCAGGCCATCTTCGCGCAGCGGGTGCTGTGCCGCTCGCAGGGCACGCTCTCCGACCTGCTGCGGAACCCCAAACCCTGGAGTAAACTCAAGTCCGGCCGCGAAACCTTTCGCCGCATGTGGAAGTGGTTACAGGAGCCCGAGTTTCAGAGGATGTCGGCCCTTCGGCTTGCAGGTAAGACAAGGTATCTGCTTTTGAACATCTTCTGTGGCGATTTTTACTCTTTGGCGCGAGCATTTATTGCGTAAAACGTTTCACTCATGCGCAGACGCGCGGCGCTTTACTTTTATTTCAAACGTCCTAAGTGAAACAATGTATCGCTCAGCTAGCGTTTTTAGTTTTTCCGTTCTTTATTTACTTTTGAAATGTTGCAAGTGCATGCTTTGGAAGAGCCGCTTCGGTCTTTTTTCTCTCTCTCCCTCTCAGTCAAAGAAAAGCTTTCAGAGATGTGCTGAATAGGGATGTGTTGGTAATTACTGGACTGTTATTCCCCTCCTGCCCCTCTACATCAGGCGTGTTGCCCCCTCTAGCGATGGGCGGTGCAGGACCCCTTTTCCTTTGTTCGGATGAAGAAAAAGCTAGACTTGAATTTTGTAGTTTGGCGTGCGAGGTGTCAGAGACGGTGTCCTGTTGTTGAAGAGCATCCTATCAGTGCATTAAAATAAAAGCATGGTGCGCATTGATTTTTAATTTGTAGGGTGATGCACAATTATTCACTGAAATAATGGACAGCTCTGATGCCTCATGCATTGTGCAACACAAGTGTGCGAGCCTGTGCATTAACTTCAGCTGAGAAAAACACACAAACAATGCATTTAAGTGTCAATAAAAGGTTCGGAAAAGGAGTGTGTGTTTGAGCTGTTAAATCACATACCAAAACATGAGCATCTTTGTCAAAACATGTCATCATTGATTCTTTGCATATGATGCATTCAGCTAATGAAATGCACTATGTGAACGGCCACAGAAGGCGATTGTTTTGTCAAGCAAACAAATGCATTTTCTTTCATCAAGAATGCAATTTTAAGCAGAACTGTGCTTTGAGATGTTGGCGTAGGCGCTTTAATGCTGTTTCCCTGCAGGGCTCTGGTCTCACAGATGGCTTTGGGTTGGGGGGAAGGTATTATGTGATCTGCAGGGGAATTGAAAAGAAGAACAGAGGCTGCAGCGGCTCGATGAATTATTGATAGAAATCTCTGCGTGACCCTCAGCTCAACGCACAAAACGTCACCTTGTCTTGGGTTAAACAGGCAGAGATGTGCAGCCCGGCACCTGCCTTTTGTTCGGCGTTTTGGAGGAGAGAAGACGCAAATAATGAAGCAAAAATAGGCTGTTAGAGGAGTTGCACGTCATGACATCAGAAATGTCTGACCCAGAGAGAATTGCTGGCCGCTTTGTTTTCATGCTTGAATTTCATGCATGTAAATGTTGACTCAGAGCTACACTCTTAAAAATGAAGGTTTCACATGGGGTTTTCAAAGCGATGCAATTATTCCAAAAAATAACCTTTAGTTTTGAATGAAATTTGTAAATTAATGTATATTATTCAGCATAATATAATGCTGAACAGATGATAACTGATTGATATATTCAAATTTCATATAGGCCTACAGTGGGGTCAAAAAATCACTAAAGAGAACAGTGAATTTTAAGCAATTTTAATATATATATATATATATATATATATATATATATATATA